GCCTTTCTTTGCCGGCTTCCCCTTTTTCACGCCTTTCGGCGACGAGTGGAAGCGAGCATTAGGGATTAGGCGCCTTTGTCTCTAATGCGGCGCGTTACATAAAACAACTGACATCTGTTTATACTTGTTAAAGCTTTCACGAAAGCAAAACACTATTTTTACGTTAAATGATTAGCCAAAATTAATTAATTATATTGGCGTAGTATTTGAAAAAATCAGACCACGTTGTAACTTATGTAATTCACAAATAAATCACACCATTGAGCTGTCTGTTCTTCTGAGCCTTATTGAAGGATGTCATTATAGGGAGCGAGTAATATTGTTACCGGATAGAAGAATTGTATTGAATAAGCAGTGAATCTTTGATATTTTTATGTACAGATTTTTACTATAGTTAATTTTATTATTTTCTTTTTCAATTAATTAAGGTTTTTAGTTGATATAAAAAAGTCAGTGACAAGAGCGGGATTCGAACCCACGACCTTCGGCTAGATAGGCCGCTGCTCTACCACTTGAGCTATCGTGACTTCGACCCACTCGTACAATAACTTCCCATCTCAACCCCAACTTTTGAATTTTCCTTCCTTTTTGCCATTTTGCAAATGTCGTGTAATCTGGTGTCCGAGTGGATCGAAATCCCTGGACCACTAAAATACTGAACTGATTAAGCCAGCAAAGTTGAGCTTATTTAAAAGAAATAACGTGCCACATAAATTTGTTTTAATTGGTGCTTTGAACAATTGTTTTCAATTAAGCTTACACCAATCCCATCTTTGTCAAAGATTATATCGATTTTTTTCCTAACCTGCTTTCTAAACAAAACTAAGGCGGATTTTGAATTTTATTATAAAATGTTCTGAATACAATTTTTCGGGTTAGGGGAAACTTTCGCTTTCCAAATGCCTCTGAAATTTTTTAAGTTACAAAAATAGTGGTAACTGTGAAACGGCTTCATTAATGTGAAGTAATTTTGCAGGTTTTAAAAACCTTATAATGTACACGTAATGGTACGTATTTAAATTCCGTAAATAAAAGAAAACCTGATATAAAATTATACAAAATAAAGATTTTAAACGAAAACTTTTTTTTATGATTTCATCTTTTTTTTCCTTTCACCTATTGTAACAAAATTCCCAAACCTTGTTGTATAATCGTCAAAAAGCTCTCTAAATTCGGTAATAATTCACTAATTTACGTGGTCCGCTTGACCAATTAATTAAGGTTTTTAGTTGGGATAAAAAAATCCGTTGCCATTTCAAGTGTCGCCGAGAATCAAATAGATTCCTCGACATTTGAAAAATGGCAAAAAGGAGGGAAATCGAGGGGATTCGAAAGATGGGAAGTTAGTGTCCGAGTGGATCGAAGTAACGATAGCTCAGGTGGTAGAGTAGCGGCGTATCTAGCCGAAGGTTGTTGGTTCGAATCCCGCTCGTGACACTGACTTTTTTATCTCAACTAAAAACCTTAATTAGTCTGTAATAATATTGAGTTTTGATAAAATCCAGAGGTGTTATCAATTTTCATGCGGAATATAAAATATAAAAGGAACGAGAATATAACCTGCCTCCGGCAAATTCAACGAAAAAGGTCTATATCTGTTGCTATGAAAATTTAAAGGCTTTAAAGTGTGTTTAAAACCGAGCAATTGTTTAAAACGATTTTTGCCTGCTTACTGGAAGCATGGAGATATTTAAAAAAAAAGTTGTATACATTTATCCTCATTCAATACAATCCGATATATTATTTTCATTTATATTAGGTAAATCAAATCATCCCCTGATATATAACACTTTTTATGTACTTCTTAAATTACTAATTTTATTTCTCGGATCCAGGGTGCAAAGAACGTCCGGACACGTCTAAGAATTTTTTTAACTAAGTATCACCAAAAAAGTTTTAATTGAAACCGATGATCCTATGTCAATAGCCTCTTCTAAGTCTTGTCTTTCAAATACTTTTGTAATTCAAGTTATGATTCAAATTGTACCTTTCCTGCAGAAGTTTTGTTTAAAATATTTTCTATAAAATAGATATTCGGTTTTTTCTGATGGAAGAATGATTGATTAGGCCATAAGGGTGATTCAAACTTTGTTGACACTGAAAAACATAGGGTGAGTTATTTTGTAAAATTTAAGAATCCGGGGTGCGCGTGGGAGAAACTTAAGCAATCAAAAGTATTAAATGGAAAAGGTCGGAAAGAAGAAGCAAACCAAGGTGATGAGGAATGATTACACTATGATCTTAGATGTGAATTTGTACTTTTTTAACACACAGTATGCTGTAGTATGTTCTAGTTTCAAAATTTAAACAGACGTTTGGTATTTGAGTTTTCTGCAATCAAAGCCATTTTTCGTACATTTTTTTATTAGCGTGTTTGGTGGCCGTATTTGGAATAAACCGATGGTTGCGTATTTCCCTTAACAAAATAAGAAGCATTATTTTCCTTGTACATGTTGTTGGAATGGGAGCGGAGTATGTTTGCCGAATATCGGTCGGTTTGCGGAGTCCAAATAGCCTCGGGGAGCGTTGGAAGATCAAAGCACCGGTTTCAAGTAGGTCGAGGAGATATGTATGCTGGTATATTTGTGTGGCAGAGGAGCCGGCGGCGGAGTCGGCAATTAGTAATTATTAAATCCGGTCAAAGGCACACAATAATTAAACAAGGGGATGTCTAAGCTTCCCGCTGGGGAGGAGTGTGGTCAGAAGCCGGAGTCGTTCCCGGTGTTTATTCAGGCGGCCGAATGCGGAAAGGGGTGGCGGGGATGCCGCGAAACCGCGCGCATCCCCTTTCTCATCACCCCAAATATTTGGCCGTCTTATGTTCCTCTGGTGTAATTATACAGCAGAATATGTGAGCCTCCCTCGAGAAGGGGTGTCTTGCGGTTTCTTAGACCTAGCGACTCGGGATATTAAACCAACCCCCATCCACTGGGCCCAAAAATGATTTCTTATTGATTGCCTATGTGGAAATACTAGCCAGTACGTTGTTCAATACGATACCTATTAATGGGTATTCATAAAAATCACAACGGATTATCACATTTTTTTATCAAGCTTATGATGAGGCCAAGCCGAAATCCAGACAAACGATATGGTGAAGATAGGCGGACCCAAAAGATCGGAGATCATCAAATTACGAAAATTTTCATTCCTAAGCACGAAATTTGAAAAGTGGAAAACTTCAAAACGGCCATAAGAAAAAAACAACAACACACCAGTGAACGTACCAAATTAACAACCGTAAATTGCAAGCAAGTATACTCAAATTTCTAGCAGCAGTAGTTAAAAAGTCTGACTACCGAAAAAGGTTCTCAGCTTTTTCCCATATTTATTAATTTGTATGAATGAGATAGAGTGGGAGGAGGAAAAGGAGAGGTAGAAAGAGAGTGCGATAGAGAGAAGCGTTAAGGAGTGTGGAGAGGTAGAGGGAGAGGGATATATATATATATATGTGTGTGTGTGTGTGTGTGTGTGTGTGTGTGTAGAGAGAGAGAGAGAGAGANGAGTGACAGAGAGAGAGAGAGAGAGAGAGAGAGAGAGAGAGAGAGAGAGAGAGTTTTTCATTTTTCAAAAAAATTGGTAGCGTGTCAGTGTGTTTGCGTGGGTATGCTTTCACCAAAAAAACGAAGATTGTATGAGCAAGAGCAACAATTTACTTACAGTATCGGTAAAAACTAAAAGCCATTTAATTTCCAACGGAAGAGAGCAACGAGCCTATAATCACTTTAAAAAAGATCAAAAGTAAACAAGGGACAAAAAGTCCGAAGCTACTTAGGGATCCTCGAATTAGGGATTGACGGCATGATACGCCTTCCAACTTGTTTCGATTTTAGGGACAAAGCGGCGGAAATAAAACAAGAGGAAGGGAAAAAACGAAAGCTCTCACCCGGGCCCGAAAGGGGCTGGAAGTCAAGTGCCTCTTATATTCTTTCCTCTCGAGTTACTTCCTTTGATTGACAGACAGGAGTGAATGCCGCAATTCGATTCACGAGAATTAAAGTGGAAAAACTGTTTGTGATTATAATCGAGTGGAAGTATATGCACATCATTATTTACAGTCCTTATCCTTGGTTTAAAAAAATTATAAATGTTGGTTGACACTAAGTTGATTTTAAAATATTTGCATAAATATTTCCCTTTTTTAAAATGTATTTTTTAATAGTTTTATCGACAAACCCCTTTTAGTGACCGAGCTTAGAGAGGTAGCCGGTCTGATGAGTCCGCAGATTAAAGGGAAGTTCTGTGTAACTTCCAGTAAGGCATAATTGATACTGTATCAATTATAGTCAGTTTGAAGTGGGCTTCGGAAAAGCAATGATTCACACGGTAAGGCAGGATGTAATCCTCTCATGACCAGGGGTCGCCGAGAAAATCCTTCCTTTGATAAACACAGTCCTCCCCAAACGACTTAAGGACCTAAGATCTCATTAAGAAACCTATTTGTCAAATTAATTGCTCCCCCGAGCTATGCGAGATTCAATCTGGTCCCATTGTTCCAGGAGATCAACAACTATTCCCAAACTGTTTTCCAAGGGAAATTATAGGACAAAGAGTCCATTGTTTCATCGATTTAAATACCCTGTTTATAACTGGGATTTCTTAAGAAAAAACTTAATTCCAGTACGATAAAATATTTGAAAAATCCATCCTAATTGGTACGTCAGAAAGAAAATCGGCTTTTCTTCGACCGTTTTATTCACTGATTGCAACACTGTGTTTCAGGAAGTCGAAGTTCATTATTTTAACAACTACCTGACGGGGAAAGAATCCCGACGAGTGCCGGGCCGTTTTATTCCCTTCGTTTATCTTTTATTTCCCCGAAACATGAGCAATCACGTTTAATGGCTACAGCTCTCTTGGCCCCCTATTTCTCTTAAACGCTCCCGGCGAAATAATAAGCTTAGGAGCGCGAGTTTTCTTTCTTTGAAGACTGGCCTTCCAACACAAAATTGTTTGGAGGAAATTTATTAAGTAGTAAAGTAACAAAGAAAAGTACATACCTAGGGCCGGCCTGAATACTAGACAAGTTTCGCCTAGATTAGCACTCGCCAACTGCAACAAACAAATACATTTAGTTAAGAACCAAATACGAAAAATAATGCAAAACTTAAATTATTAACAAGCAAAAAATGCAGGGTTCGTCAAGGTAGATTTTATATTCGTATTTGCTACGAACAATTGATTTAAAAAGTAAAAGAAATTTCGAATATGAAGCTTATTGTTTTACTGTTTTATACAATTTTGTGGCCGTCCAGTGAATAATAAGTTGGTCATTACTGACTTCCTATCCTCGTTGGGTCGGTCTAACAGACATTTCGCCATCTTCAGAGATGGATCTGTTTTCAATGTCACAAATCATCTTTATCAAAATTGGGTAAAGCCTCCCATACACAGGAGTACTTCCTGTGCAAGTAGGTACGCAATCCCTCATTTCCGTTCTCGACTTGGTTGCGACGCACCTTGGATCGAGACTCGTGAGACCTGCAAAAATCTAGCTACTTGCGTGTTTCGGGTTATCGGGTTAGTATCCTATGGAGGCGTCGAACATAAAATTTAAACAGGAAGTGGAAAAACATCCCGATTTGTACAGTTACACCCTCCCTGCTGATTCCAGAAAGGACACAAAGACGAAAGCGTGGAATGAGGTTTACAAATGATTACAATCTTCTGTTTAATGTTATATCTCTCTGAATTAAGAAAAAGTAAATAAAGATAATACACAATATAAGTATATTTTTATACATAAAGTAAATTCAATTGTTTTTCTTCCGCGGCTTAATCAGTAATTAATTGTATGGACGTACCGATTCTTTTCGACGCCTCTTCTCATCAGTAATTCCTGATCATCATCTGAACTACTCATTATACCCCCCCTTCAACAAACCGTTTATGTGGTGAAAACCCTCCTGGCAAAACACGAATGGACTAAACAAAAAGAGAGAGAGAGAGAGAGAGAGAGAGAGAGAGAGAGAGAGAGAGAGAGAGTATGATAAAAAACATGTGATGGAAGGAGATTGTGGGAAACAGAAAGTATGAGAGAGAGAGAGAGAGAGAGAGAGAGAGAGAGTGAGAAAGAGGAAGGAAAGAGAAAAGAAGAGATAGATAGATAGGTAGGTAAATAGTGATAGATAGAAAGATAGATAGATAGAGGGAGAAAGAGAGAGAGAGAGAGAGAGAGAGAGAGAGAGAGAGAGAGAATGAGAGGGAGAGAGAAATATCTGTCTTACTTTAAGTTTTAACTGAAATAAAACAACCTTTAATTTTTATACCTGTTGGGTTGTCGCAGTAAAAACATTTGAGCTTTTTTAAATATGGAAATTAGAATAGGATTTTTAGTTTTGTTTACACATCTAGCTAAAGTCAAAAATTCAGGATGTGACGATGATTTTTTTCTACTTTCTCTCTGCTTCGTAGACCACTTTGTTATATTGCACAACCACTGGGTTTTACACATGGTTTCGGCTTTTGTTATATGTAACTATTTAAGCAAAAACTAAGGCTAATTTGTAAAACATTAAATGCACTTTTTTTCTTCAATTAATTAAGGTTTTGGTTGAGATAGAGCAGTGGCTCAAGTGGTAGAGCAGTGGCGTATTTAGCCGAAAGTCGTGGGTTCGAATCCCGCTTGCGACGCTCACTTTTTTATCCCATCTCTCTCACTCACTCACTCTCTCTCTCTCTCTATACATATCTATTTCTATCCATCTATCGTCTATCTGTGTATCTATCTATCTTTACATTTCTCCTTCTGTCACTTTCTTCCTTTTATCCTTAACTGTTATCTATTCCTCAATTAATTGAACCTTAATTAATTGAAAAAGAATCTATTTGGTCAATCGGACCACGAAATATAATGAATTTAATAAGCAAAATGAAGTATACTTCACTAAAGCTAAAGAGAGAGAGAGAGAGAGAGAGAGAGAGAGAGAGAGAGAGAGAGAGAGAGAGTGAGAAAGAGTGAAGAGAAGAGAGAGTGAGAGTGGGCGTGAGAGCGAGGAAAAGTAACAAATAGACGGGGAGGAGTGAAAGACATAGATGAGAGAGTGAGAGACAAAAAAAGAGAAGGAAAAAGAGAGAGAGTGAGCGAAAGAGGGCGAGAGAAAAAAGTGACAAATAGACAAAGAGAAGTAAAAAACAGAGAGATAGATAAGAGAGAGGGAGAGGGTGGTGGAAGGGAGGGAGAAAGAGAGAGGGAGAGAGAGAGAAAGAGAGGGAGATAGAGAGAGAAAGAGAGAGAGAGAGAGAGAGAGAGAGAGAGATAGGGAGACATTTTTCGAACATTTACAAAAACAGCCTGGATAGGAAATAAAATTTTGTATTTATTAGAGTGTATATTATGTGCATATACAATAATTGTTATACTTATATATTTTATACCAAAAACTTTATATAGCAATTTTATAATTTATTCATTTCATATTGTCATATTATTGTTTTCTTATTGTATTTTTTGTTGTTTTATTGTATTATTTATTGTAAAAATAATACATCTTAAAACAATAAATTCTAAACAAAATTATTATAATTATTCAGAATTTATTGTTTTAAGTTGAACTATTTTTAAACAAATAGTCATTGTTTTTATTGTATAAATCGAACATTATAAAATTTGTACTTAGTTGTTACTATTTAATAAGTAAAATTTATATTCAGTTAAATACACCACACATTTTGTATCGTTCACGCCATATTAATATCAAATGATAAGTATCAAGGGCCCTCTTTTATGTTGCCTTTCAAAGCAGGAATTCTACTTAACTCAAATAATAGGTATGTACATTAATATTGATTTCTATCGGTTTTAACGGAAAGAAGAATTTATGGATTTCAAAATTTTTATAGGTTTGAAGAGAGAACTGGGACGTGGTCAGAAATTCTATAAGTATTATGGCATGTAAAAACTTGATGTTTTAGTACAACAAAACCAACAACCTAGATTAAAACGTGAAATCGGCCCAGAATATTTATTTTTTTATAACTGAACAATTTTGTTTAAATTAATTAGTAAATCTAATTTATTATAATGGAACATTGAAGTATAAACTGTTAATGTTAGGATTCAGCGTTTTCAAAAATAGGCAAATTTTTAGATAATTAGCAACGATTAAACTGTTAATGCAAGTAAGTTTAATTTTTCAATTGGTATAAACTTCTCCGTTGGAAAGAGAGCAGGCAAATTAGTAGATTTAGCCGTGATGTGATTGATCGTTGCCATCAGAGAATTAACTGTGTATTTTCACAGTTGATCTGTCCTGAAAGATCTCGGGCCCCTTCCTCTCACTCCTCAGTAATCTCACTCCTTTAACTTAGAGCGATTGACTTGAGAAATCACTGGGTTGAAAAGCGTCTCCCCTCCCTTTTTGCTTCTGTACCGTTTTGAATTCAGAGAAATTGACGGGAGGGGGTGCGACGCCGGGGGCCGGTAATTAACATTGGTCCCATTACTGTAATTAAAGTGCATTGAGGGGGTCGTTCGGGGGAAAAACAAAAGGGACACGGCCCGAGGATCTTAAGGGGCTGAAAGGGTTATTACATATTTTAGGACAATGGACTTCTTGCCCTTTTACCACCTCGTCCATTATCCAGGGGCACCCTTAAGGTATGGATGAATCAGTGCATTGTTTAAATATTCATGTGGACCGAGGAACTATGTAACCATTGGAAATTATTGATCAGGTTTCCTTTAAGAGTTGATCTGACTTAAATCCCCGGATTTAAGGTAGTATAAACCCAAACCATTGGTAATGTTAAACATTGAATGTACTATAAAAGAATACCATTAATAAGAAAATGCTACATCTCAATATTATCCGTGTATTTAGGACAAAACTCGTGAAATTTCCTCCTGAGTTCTAGTTTGGCGATATGAAGCTCTCCTCCTGCAGTCAAAAGTTAGTTATTATTTAACATCACTGGGGATAATGGTGTTATATATTATAATCTCCATTACGTGAAATACATCGTAGACAAAATGGATTCACATCCATCCTTAAATTTTGAAACGAGTATCACTTCAAAATAGGCCATAAGATAATACAAACAACCTAACAACTGTAGAGATAAACTAAAACGTTCCACCAAACTGGCTATCTTATAAAATGCACCCAATAAAATGCAGATGTGTCAGTAAAGAAACTTCAGCCAAACTCAACTGACCAACTCAGCGAGGATGAGCACACCAAAATGGTCTTTAAGAATCAAATTTCACTTTCATATGTTGCTAAATCAGTGCACTGAAGAATAGATAGATGGAGAAAGATATAGAGAAAGATATAACAATAGATTGAATAGTAGATAACTAGATAGATAGAGAGATAGATATAAACAGTTAGATAGACAGGTCGATAGATAAATAGATAGGTAGATAGAAAGGTAGATATATACATACATATATATATATATATATATATATATATATAGG